ACTTCCATTTTCAAGATTTTCATATGTTTATAAATCTACTTGATTTTAACCATTTTTTAAATTTTAAATTTTGTATTTAGATATAAAAATAGATTTTGAGATAATTTGAAAAACATTGTACATCAAAATTATATATCATGATAAAATTTGAAGGTACACCTTAAAAAATTGAGTCACAATTATGTGATACATGCGCTTATCGGGTGAATCACGTGTTTGGTCACACATGCAATGCTACACATGTGCCCCTTGAGGCTGCACAATTTTTCTTGTGGCTGCAGCTGTATGTATCTTTTGGTGCAGCTTCAGATGTGTGGATTTCAGATGCTGTCTTGACCCTTTTTTTTTTTTGTGCATTCGTGCCTTACTAGTTTATATTGGGGCTGCGATTGCACAGTGATTGTGTGGCCTTGGCCTCACAGTCACACTATGTGACCTCAGATTTGTGTTTTTCAGCACAACTTTAAATGGGCATAACCTTGTCTCCCGGTAGAATCTCAGATAGGACATCAATATATATTTTTGAGATAGCTCGTGAAGAGGGACATAATAGCTAGGGTCCCACTTACTAATATCGCTTCTAATAGAGGTGCCAGTTGCTTATTCGATTTCTAATGGTTGGATTGTGGATTTAAGAGCAACAAAATATAAAATAAAGTAGGCAGAAGGGTTCATAGAGCTTCACCAAGTTCCAGTAGGATGGGTGGATATTTTCATGGGAAATGTGCGGACCTATAGCTTACAATTTTAGTTTGGCTGGATCATGTTTTCCATGATGTTCTCTATGCTTTTGGGACGAAGACGGGCCTCCTTTTAGTCCCCAAACACTCACAAAAAGACATTTGATTCCATTTTTAGGCAAGAGTACAAATAAAACTTGAGGAGATTCATTTTTTTGGTAGTAATCTAGTTGATGGACTTTTGACTTTGGTTATGGAAGATTTTTTTTTGTTCTACTTACTCCCATTCTCCTCCTTTTGTGAATGATGCGTCATCATTCCTATATTCTCATTCTTTTTCATTTGTGCATCATGATATTTTTTCTTCTATATTGCGCCATGCTAGATTGGAGCATATAACTAAAGATAGATTATTAGGATCCTTAACCAAAGTAGATATTTACCTTTCTTTGAACCTTGTTTGATAGGCAAATCCACTAATAAACCCCTTTGTAAGGCTCAAGATAAAAAAACCGTTAGAATTGTGCACTAAGACATTTGCGGTCCTTCCATGTGAAGGCTTAGTTCATCGGTTTTATTGATGAGTACTCGTGTTATAGTTTTATGTACTTGATCTCATACAAATATAAGGCAATTGATTGCTTGAAGAGGTTTAAGTTGAGGGAAGAGAATTAAGGTTCTCAGAATTGATGGGGGTGTGTTGAGAAGTTTTTGTCGGCAGGAAACGATGTCAAAGCTTCACAGCAAAATGGCGTTGCAGAGAAAAAGCAACCGTACTTTTATGGTTATGGTGAGGTCCATGATAGCACAATCAAATCTCCCTGTTACTTTTTGAGGTGATTGTCTGTTGATTGTTGTGTACATCTTGAATAGGGGTTCCATTGGGTGTATTTTCTGGACACATAATTCAAGGACCAATGGAGAGATATACAATCAATGGTCAGGATTAACTTTGAGATGGAAAATGAATCAGAATTGAACAATCACTAAGTGCATGCAGGCTTGATAGGCGACGGAACAATGAGGGGTTAATGAACATTATTTTAAGATCATCATCATCACCACCATCATCATCATTATCATCATTTTAGCATTTTCTCAATTAATTGGGGTCGGCTACAGGAATTCTGGTTCTCTATTTTGCTTTATTAAATGTCACATCGTCATATCTTCAGTGAGACCATAAGTTCTCATATCTTTTCAAACTACTTCCAACCAAGTTCTTTTGGGCCTACCCATTGCCTTTTTTAGTCTTTTCACTTGAACTAATTTGCACCTCCTAATAGGTGTTGTACTTGGTAGGCGCCACACATGACCAACCCACCTAAGTCTAATCTCTCTCTCATTTTATCGTGTATTGGTGCTAGACCTAAATTCAAAAATAGATTCAATGTGAATTCTATCACTTCTTGTCTTGCCACTCATCCATCTCAACATCCTTATCTCTGCTACACTAATTCTATGCGTGTATTATTTTTTATTTGCCAAATATTTAGCCCCATAGCAAAACCGGTTTCATCGATGTCCTATGGAATTTGCCATTCAACTTTATTGGTATGCGACAATCACATAAATTTTCAGTTGCACATCTCCACCTCGCCCACCTAGCTCTAATTCTTTGTGTGACATCTTCTTCGTTACAGTATCAACCAATGGCCCAGATTTAATCTGAGCTGATCTGACGGTTACGACTTCATTTCGTATTTGAATTTTCATATTTTTTCTATAAATCCAAATGACTTGAAATTTTAGACGTTCATTCTTCTCATCAAGGTGCACTAATAAAAATATAAAAAAATATTTTGTAAAATGTAAATTATCCATATATATAATAATATATATATATATATGGGGATTAGATTCGGTACGCCCACTAGCTGACCGCTACAATAAACGCCAATGGCCAAGATTGAATCTAGGTAGATCTGACGGTCACGACATCTTTTCGTGTTTGAATTTTAATTTTTTTCTATAAATCTAAATAAGTAAAAATTTTACTTGTATGTTCTTCTCATCATGCCTTACCTAATAAAAATATATAAAAAAATAATCCACAAAATTAAAATTGATCAAAATACCTCCAAAAATTTACAAGGGCATTTTAGTAAAAAAATTTCATGTAAAATATTTATTATATATTTTTAGAAAATTCAACTATTATTTATGTACACACTCTTCAAATTTTAGATCATTCTAAGTTGTAGAAAAACCATCAAAATTCAAACACCAGATATCTAGGATCATTTGATCTGCCTAGATTCAATATGGGCCGTTAACTTTTACTGTAGCAGTACGCCATTGGGCAGACATGATCTTTTCCCATATATATATATATAAAAGAAAAAGTTCATATAAGCTTGCAACGTTAAAATGTAGAATTACAGATGCACTTCAAAAATTTATTGGAAAAGGTTGTTTTAATGTTGAAAAAATTTCTAATTGAACAACTCAGCATCGAGATGTATGAATATGAAAAAAAAAATAAATGGATTTTGAGTCCCAAAAATAGTGCATCTTGCAACACATTATCTAGACCGTCTATTTTCAAGATTTTTATATGCTTATATATCTACTTGATTTTAACCAGTTTTTAAGTTTAAAATTTATATTTAGATATGAAAATAGATTTTCAGATAATCCTAAAAATATTTTACGCCAAAAATACATGTTATGTTAAATTTTCGAGGTGTGCCTTAATTGGATTGTTTAAGGTTGCAACCTTA